ATAATAACACGAATGGTAATACTGCTAATACTAGTATTAACAATAATACTATGCATAGTATTAATAAGAAGAAGACTAATAAGAACAATACGAATACTACTACGAAATCTAATAATAAGAATAATACGAAGAAGCCCAATACTAAGAAGACTACGAATAAGACGAATAAGACGAATAATCATAATTTTAATAGTAATCATAATATTAATATTAATAATAAAAAGAAGAAGAATAATAATAGTAAAAAGAAGACTAATACTAATACCAAAGACGATCAATACTACTAATACTATCAATAATATTAATACTAATAATAATAGTAAGATTACTAACAATGATAACACTAATAATCATATCAATAATAATATTAGTGAACATAAGAATAATACTATTACTAATAATAATGATACTACTACTAATCATAATCATAATAATATGACTAATGAGAACAATAATAAGACTAGTAAGAAGAAGATGATTAATAATAACAATACTAAGAATAATAAGAATAAGCATACTAATAATAATACTAAGAAGAAGAGGAAGAGGAGGAGGAGGAGGAGAGGAGGAGGAGGAGGAGGAGAAGGAGGAGGAGGAGGAGGAGGAGGAGGAGGCGGAGGAGGAGGAGGGAGAGGGAGGAGGAGGAGGAACGAGGAGGAAGGAGGAGGAGGAGGAGGAGGAGGAGGAGGAGGACGAGGGGGAGGAGGAGGAGGAGGAGACGAGGAGGAGGAGGAGAGGAGGAGGAGGAGGAGGAAGAGGAGGAGGAGGAGGAGGAGGACGGGGAGGAGGAGGAGGGGGAGGAGGAGGAGGACCGGGACAGGGCTCTGGGACAGACTGGGCGGTGGTATCCGCACTTGAAGACGCCGCCCTCCTCGGACCCAGGCCAGGCGGCGGCCTCCCCGTCAGGCCTCCGCTCGGGGAGTCGAGTCCTCTCCCGCCGAGCTCAAGGCCGCCGCCCGCGGATCGCGGCGCGAGCCCATCTGCTCGGACCCCATCTCGGAGGCCTTCGCGGAGATCCTGGCGGCTCGATTTGTCCCAGATTTTTTCCAGCCGGGCGCTTCCGCATAACTTCGGGCCCCAGGACACTCACGTGTCGACCTGGCTCCAAAAGTGGCGCAGGAACGTGGGGTCTAGAGCTCCAGGCGCGATGCTCACGGCGTCTCAACTTTTTTGAGACGTCTGATCTCAGGGTTCTGTGTGGGCGAGGGGGTTCGGGCGCGGTGGGGCAGGCTGGCCGCGCTGCGCGGGGACCCCACCGAGGAGGTGGCACACGCCTTCGGCGCTGGGGAGCCCTGCTGCATCTGCCAAGGTGGCAGCGTCGAGAAGACGACGACGATTATACTAATCAGGATAGTGCTTCTGTTGCTGCTGCTGCTGCTGCTGATGATGATGATGATGATGATGATGACGATGACGATGCTGATGATGGCTTTGAGCATGATGATGGTGTGGGTGATGATGATGGTGGTAATGACGATGGTGATGATGATGGTGATGATGATTGTGGTGGTGATAAGATTGTGGTGGTGATGATGATGGTGATGACGAGAATGGTTGTGACGATGGTGATGATGGTGGTTGTGAGGGCGACGATGATGATGCTTCTGCTGATGGTGATGATGATGATTATGCTACTAGTGGCGGTGACGATGGTGATGGTGAAGGTGATTGTGATGGTCATGCTGATGATGATGATCCTGACCATGATGATGATGATGATGATGATGATGATGATGATGATGATGATGATGATGATGCTGATGCTGATGCTGATGCTGATGATGATGCTGATGATGATGATGATGATGATGATGATTATGATGGGTGGTGGTGGTGGTGATGATGCTGATGATGATGATGATACTTTTGATGATGATGATGATGATGATGATGATGATGATGATGATGATGACGATGACGAAGGTGCTGACCATGAATATGACGATGAAGACGATGCTGGTGGTGGTGTTGTTGTGGTCATCACGCTGATCTTGATAATGGTGACGATGACGCTTACAATGATACTGATGCTGCTGTTGCTGATGATGATGATGACGAGGATGATCATACGTATGATACTGCTTACTATTACGATGGTGTGATGCTAATGCTGAGTACTATGATGACGGTGATGATGAGGCTTATGATGATGCTGCTGATGATATTGATGATGATGGCCGGTGTTGGTTGTGATGATGATGACGACGATTGTGATGATAATGATGAGGTTGGTGATGATGATGACGATGAGGATGCTGATGTTGATGATGGTGATGCTCACGACGACGTCGACGACGATGATGATGATGGCGATGATGATGATGAGGATGATGATGAATTCCAAGACGATGGTGAAGATGATAGGCGGCGACGCCGACGACGACGACGATGATGATGATGATGATGGTAGACAACGATCATGGTGATGATGATGACGAACGATGATGATGCTGATGCTGATGCTGATGCTGATGCTGCTGCTGACGCTGACGATGATGAC